TGAAGAAAGTCTAAGAGAAAGAAAGTCTGAACACAAAGTGGAGGCCGATAGGCTCAAAGTAGGCAGGCGAGAAGATGATTGGAATAGAGTAATGATGTCATTATTTAGTATAGTAGTAATAGAATAATAGTATATAATAATAGTAGTAATAGAGTAATGATGTCATTATTTAGATTGACAGCGTGGGAACGCCGTACATAATGTCAACAGAAAAGCAGCCGAAGCCAATGAAAGCAGGCAGATGACTGATCACAGATCTTCCTTATTGAACTTATGCATAAGCTTAATTTCTATGTATGTCTGCACATGTCTCAATAAATTTTCCTAACAAAACATTAAGAAACTGGGGTTTCGCAAGACTTTTTCACATCACTGTACACAAACATTAAAATGTGAGTACACAAATATATATACATGTGAGCCTTTCACACTGTTACGATGGCCCAAAACAACCCACACAGGAGTAATGCACAAAGAAATAAAAATAACATAAAACAAAGTCTGTGAAGAATAGCTTTTTCTCCCCCAAATTACACCTGAAACCTTCAACTCCTGGCAGCTAAATGTCATGTAGCTGCAGGCAATATGAGTAATTAGAGAGCAAGAGTACAGTTCCCGTGGCACACACAAAAAACTTGCTGTTTTATATCACTGGTGCACACTTTCTGCAAAAAAAGGGACCGTCATTAAAATCTGGGTTTGTACTGTTCCACACAAAACTGGACTATTTCAGGAATTTCCCTTTAGTTAGTGCATTCAGCTGCTGTTCCTTTGAAAATTGTAGAAGAAATACACAAGATCAAAAATACACATTCATTATTTACTGTTTCTATTCTATTTTTACCCACTTGATTACACCACAGCAGCTGTGGAGGTCAATTCTACCACTGCTGAGGTTTTCCTCCCAAAAGCGATGGTTGTATTTTTTTAGCGTTGTGGTTTTCCATACAATATGTTGTCCAGATCAAGCATGAGACTCCCTGCTTATGGTGACTAAATGGGGGATTTCTTTCAAATGTTAAATAGACACGCTGTCAGTGTGAACAGCATCATTTGGCATGCAGCAGGAAACAGCCGTGAAATGTGTCACAGAATATGCGCATTACACATGTTTGTTATACAATAACGATAAAGGTGAAATCTTTAAAGAATTTTGCTGCCAAAGTGTAAAAGAATATTTCAAATGCTTTAAATGTTTCTCTTAGAATGACTTCTGTTAAATGATGGAAACAGGAAATTCACTCCCAAGGCTACAATGTTTCACTGAATTAGAGATTAACTCTTGGAACTGATCCAGATTCACGCCTATAACAAAGAATGGAGATGTTTCAGAATGTGATGCTCATACATCAGATATGTTCACATTTACTTATGAAACTGGAGGCTTTGCCTTTATTTTCTAAAGGAACTGTCATAAACTAATAGATAGTCTTATTTTTGTGCATCTCGACCAGTGTTGGTCAAGTTACTTGAAAAAAGTAATCAGTAACTAATTACTGATTACTTCCTCCAAAAAGTAATCCCGTTACTTTACTGATTACTTATTTTCAAAAGTAATTAATTACTTAGTTACTTTTTAAAAACACGATTTACAACCTGAATAGGTGA